TGGGATGGGTGGGAATTGGCCCTGAAAATCCCCTATGGGGAGTGGTCAAGTAACGTATGTATGTATGTAAGGCCTTGCGCATATCTCCGGCTACTGCAATAGGATGGAATCTGTTGCGGACACTAACATTCCAAAGTTCATTCCGTAGTGGGGGTTCAGTGTGTAATAACTCATTCAAAGATGGCGCACCGTCATACGCACGGGCCGAGGCGTCATATACCACTCGTAGCTTGGTTGATTCTGCATTCTCGCGTATTACTGCTCGGTGGGGCATGTAGAATTCTTTGCCAGTTACCTTCGCTGGTGCCTTCTCAACCACACCTTCCTCTAACTGTCGTCGTACTGGTCTGGCATATCAGTTCTCTTTAATTTCCGTAGAAGAGAGGTCACTCTGCGCACACTGCCCGCACAATTATTAGGCAACTCAGGACAGTTCCCTTTCCAGGGTAGTCTAGTTTCGTATTGGCCGTCTGGACTTCTAGCCAGCTGCTCCTTAAATTCTTCGTGGACGTCGCTTTGGTGAGTAGATAGTTTGTCCTCTAGTCCGAGGACATCTAGGGCGCAGAGTCGGTTGTGATCCACCGTAGAATTCACGGCAAGGAACACGTTGCCTACATCTGTTCCGGGGACATTATAGTCCACCCGAAACGTGTACGCTCTGCTACTGGATCTCCTCTACGTCCGACCCGTAAACGATCAGTTGTCCGTATCTTGGCAAAGTCATTAGCGCCGATAATGATGTGCACAGGTAAGCGAGCCTTTGTATCACTATCCTCTATTTTAACACCTCTCAGGTGAGGGTGATTTTTTACGAGGTCGGAGTACCTTGGATTGTCTTAAGTCAACAGTTCCTTTTTTCGATTTTGGTGACATTCACGTTTAGTGAGAAATCTCCAGTCACAGAACGCATGACAACTTCGTAGACTTGCATAGTTCTGGTTTTAACGCCTGTAAGCATGGCAATTTGACGCAAACTCGTACTCTTCACTTTAGCTTTAAGTAACTCAATCGCAGTTGACGAAACATACGAATGTCTAGCGCCACTGTCCAAGAGAGCTCTGAATTTATATCCACCTATGTTTATGACTACTACGGGATGAATAACATTGGAATCGCCAATCAAATTTGCAGTCATTACTAGTTCTCGTCTCTCCTTGTCACATATCGAAGTGTGGTGTTTTCCATCTCAACTTTTGCAAGTATTTCTGCTCTTACAATCGCTGGCTCGGTGTTTGGCTCCGGTACAATTGAAGCACAAGCGCTTATCGGCAAGTATTTTCTTCCTTTCTTCGTTTCTTTAATGCTTTGAACGTTATCACAGTTAATTGCTTTAAGTTGTTCGCTACAACAATAAAGACACGCCCCCGTGGGCTCGCCCTCGACTGGTCTCCGGTTTCTTGTTGTTTGGCAAGAAATGCTCTGGACTGATCTCGACGAAAATTTGAACTCTTTGATTTCGGTTCATTTGAAATGGGATTATTAATCGTCCATTTTTCCAACGCCTCTAAGAATTCTATAAAAGTCCATTCACACCAATTTTCATCTATCATAGCAAGTTCGTTCTTTATCACGTCAAGTTTGTCGAAGGTAAATCGAACTGCGGCGTCCACTTTGGATAAGCTCTTCAATGTTCGGAATGACTCTACATTCAACAGTACTACTTCGTAAAATTCATGTATCTTCTTTACGTTTCTCTCGCGCATGGTGGGTAGCTCTAAAGTATTTCTAACGTAAGTTCCCACGACTTCGCTCGCTTTCCCACATCTTCTTGTGAGTAAATTTTTAGCCTTTTGGTAACCTTCAGGCGTAAACGGAAGACTGTCGATGAGATTTCGCACCTTCATATTCACTAATTTTTTCAAATAAGAGAACTTTGTGACTTCAGGGGCACTGGAATCATCAATTTGACTTTGGAACTGTCCCCAAAAACGCAGCCAATCTTGTGGCGTCCCGTCAAATTTTGTGATCACGAGCTTGGGCATTCTCATCACGTTTCTAGCCATTTGCCCGTAAATCAATCAATTAATCAATCAACTTTATTTAACGAGGGTAATACGGGACAGTGCTTCGACTGAGTAACTAGTGGCCCTCAAACTAAATTTGTAAAACAAAGTATGGTAACAAAATACATGTCGTTTAGAAAGGAAGTATAAGTGTATGTATGAATAGGACTGACTATGGTAAAAACTATATTACACTTATAAAAATATTCTTACAATAAGAATACAGCTGGGATGGGTCGAGGGAGAGGAAGGTTATGAAATGTTGGATTAGCATAAAACTATGAATAAAATTAAGTTTCAGTTAGGCTAAAATGATCAACGTCATTGTATCTGGTTAAAAATGTCTATAAATAGCCTTTCTAGATGAGGTTACACATGCTACTTTCTTAAGGTTAATAGGCAGAGAGTTCCAGAACCTGGTTGCGGACATGCTAAAAGTTCTCCCTCCCTCAGATACACGATTATATCTGGCGCAGACGAGGTTTAAGGTACTGTACCGCCCACTGCGTGTGTGTAAATCTGCATTGCATTTAAGGTCATACATGTAGCCGGGGCAGTTTCCTTGAAGGCGCTTAAACACTAGTGAGCAGTTATTGTTTTTAGCTTCATCATAAAATGGGAGCCACCCTAATTTATTAAAAAGATTTACGCTATTTGATCTTGTGTCAGCTCCCAAAATTACTCGGGCAGCACGTTTTTTCAGCTTGAGGATTCTCGTGAAGTTATCTGCTGAGCAGTTTGACCAGATAGTTGACCCATACAACATTGCTTGTTTGATCATAGCGTTGTAGTAAAGTATGCGCTGTTCAATAGGGATGAATCTCCTTATCTTTCTAAGAACCGCTTTTCTCTGGGACAACTTCTTGCACAGTTCCTCAACGTGTACATCAAAACTTAAGTGTTTGTCGACAGTAACCCTCAAGAGTTTCTAACTATCAACCTGTTCTATGTCAGAGTTAGCAAGTTTGAGCTCCAGTGAACAATTGTCAAGCTTGAATGGTATGCGTTTCTCTGTAACAAGGAGGCTTTTCGTATTCGCAGCGTTTGTAACCATTTTGTTAGCAGCCAACCACCGCGAGACGTCATCTAAGTCCTTTTGGAGGGCTGATGACATGACAGTAAGTCCATTAGTCACGTCTGATGATAAACTGAGAGTAGAATGCTGTAGATGTCAACGGTAGAATGCTGTGCCGCCGATGGTAGATCGTTAATGACTAAGAAGAGCAAAATTTGTCCCAAAATACTCCCTTGCGGTACTCCAGCCGACATAGCTCTTGGGGAGGAATGACAGCCATTGAGGTGTACATACTGTGTGCGTCCACTTAGATAACTGCGTAGTAGTTCCAGCTCGCTATCGCATACCCCATAGGCTTTCAATTTCTCTAAGAGCAGACCGTGGTCTATGAGGTCAAAAGTCTTTTTATAGTCAATAAACACAAGCCCCGATACTTTGTTCTTGTCCAATTCAAAGAGCAACTGATCTACTAGGAGGATAAGGGCGGTCTCAGTGGAGTGAAATTTGCGGAAACCGGACTGAAACCTGTGTAGTAGAGCGTTTTCCTCAAGGAAGTCGCAAAGGTGATCACAAATGTGCTTCTCGAGTAACTTTGAAAGTATAGGAAGCGCGGTTATCGGCCCGTGCATATTTTCCGGCGGTTCCGTTTGAGCTTGTTTGAGCTCCAACTTCTTCTTCTCAAATTCCAATTCCTCCGCATGTGCTCGATTAATAGCTTCTTGTTGTTGCACCATTTTCTCTTTCTCTAGTTCGACTTCTCTCTTGTGCTCATAGAGCACGGTTGCGTGTTTCAGATTACGATCGATTTGCTCAATTCGTTCTTCCAGTTCGCGTATACA